CACATTTCCTCAAAAATCTGTTTGACTTAAGCCTATCCCAGGCTTGTGGGCTGCTGGGATGCTGCTTTCTTTGGAGTCTGTCAGGATTCATGACAGGCTGAGGTCAAGACTGGGTCAGTGACCCCAGGGTGATGATGAGATGGGACAGGCATCTTTACAACTCAGCTCTGTTTCTTGGTTCTAAAAACACTTGGCAGCTAATCAAGCTGGGGTATCTTGTAGGAGACTGAATGGCCTGAAGCGGCCAGATACTGTTCCTGTTCCTGCCACGAGGGAGGTCCTGATTCCAAGCTGAAGAAAAGCAAGAGGAGAAATTGTCACTGCAGCAGCAAGGTGGGGAAGGTGCCTGGTGTGATGGGACTGCCCAGGCCATACTGTGCAGATACTGGTCAGGTGTGTTGTTTGTTTTGTTGTTTTTGTACATAGCCCAGGCTGTCTTGGAACTCACTATGGAGATGGCCTCAAACTCAAGGAAATCCTCCCTCTGCCTCTAAAGGTATGTGCCAACGTGCCTGATTAGATGCTGTTCTGCTACTACAGATTTATGTGCTTTTGAACTTCGAAAGTGATCACACGCATCAGAGTATATGCAGTATATATACATGCGTACATATGCAAAACAAATGGACCCTTCTGCAAATCCCAAACAGAAGCAGGTACCTGGCCTGTGAGCCTGGTACTGAAGAGGTGGGAGCAGGACGAGCAGAAGCTCAAGATTACTCCGTTACACAGCGGGTGTGAAGCCAGCATGGACATAGAACACCCTCAGTTACACAGTGTGGACATACAACACCCTCTCTCACATTAAAACTAGGAAAGAACTGTCAGGTGGATTTTGCTTTTGTTGCTTTGTCTTCAGATGGTGGTTTGTTATGTAGCCCAGGTTGACCTCACACCCACCATCCTCCTGTCCCTGCATTCTGAGTGTTGGGACTACTGGCATGCATTACAGTAGTCAGTTTTAAATGGTGCTATGATCAATTCCAGGGCACCTTGTATGGTAGGCAAGCACTCTATCAAGTGAACATCTCCAGCTTTAATTTTTTTTTTTTTCCGGTTCCCGAAACAGGGTTTCTCTGTATTGTTTTGGAGGCAGTCCTGGAACTCGCTCTGTAGACCAGGCTGGCCTTGGACTCACAGAGTTCCTCTGCGTTCCTAGTGCTGGGATTAATGGCATGCACCACCAACACCCAGCTAGATTTGTTTTTTGATACAGGGTTTCTCTGTAGCTTTAGAGGTTGTCCTGGAACTCTCAGTAGACCAAGCCAGCCTTGAACTCCCAGAGATCTGCCTGTCTCTGCTTCCCAAGTGCTAGAATTAAAGGTGTGCACTACGACTGCCTGGCCTAGATATTTCTTTATTGTTTCTCATGTGGGAATAGTTGGTTTTGTATTTTGAGATAAGGTCTTTTGTAGCCTTTTCTTGCCTCAAATTCACCATGAATGTCCGATGGATTACTTTGAACTCCTGCCTGCACTACATAAGTGCTAGCATTACAGTTGCATTTGCTTTTTAAATTATTTTTCTTTTCATTTTATGTGCATTGGCGTTTTGCCTGCATTATGCCTGTGAGGGTGTTGAACTTCCTGGAACTGCAGCCACAGAGAGTTGTGAGCTCCCATGTGGGTGCTGAGAATTGAACCTCTGGAAAAGCAGCCAGGCTCTTAGCCCCATAAACTTACATTTTCCTTTTAAAGAGAATCTTTTATTTGAACACGGTGGTCCACACCTGTAATCTTAGCACTTTATAGGCAGAGACAGGAAGCTGGAAAATGTGACCCTGTATAGCATGTTCTAAGCAGCCAGGGCTACCTGGAGACCCTTTCTCAAAAACAGTAGTGGCTGGAGAGATGGCTCAACAGTTAAGAACCCGGTTGATCTCCCAGGGGTTCTGGCATTTTATCCCCCGCACCTACATGGCAGCTCTAACTGTCTGTTACCCCAGCTCCAGGGCATCCATTGCCTTCTAGCCTGTCAGCACTGCAGGCACATGGTGCACACACACAGCACATAATCAGTCATACTATATGCATAAAGTGAAACCAAAAATCTTCAGAAAAACCTAGATAAAATAAAATCCAATCCCTTGAGTAATGCTTCTGGAAAAAGGAAGTGTTTCCTCATAGATTTATTGCTGTCTATGGACCTTTCTCTGTAGTTTGTGCTGGGTACTTAGGGGTTCTTTTCTGTACATCAAATAAACCTATGAGCAAAATAGACTGAAGACAACTTTTCTCCAGAGTGAGTTGGTTGGCAGCACACATGCAGTCCTTGTTAGAAATGGAGGAGTCCTAGGTACCTTGAAGCATGTTGGCTGTCTTGCTGAGTAGCAACACAGGTCTTACCTTGGAGGGGCTTGAGATATGGTAAGGTCAGGACATTTTTAACGTAGAGTCACCCTTGCAGGTCTGTGACAGCAAATCTTACAAGAGCAAGGAGTCCCTTGAGTTGGTGGGCAGTAGCCCCCTCCAAGAGGCCAGTTCTATGCCTGGAAATAAGGAAGCAGGACACAGCAAGAACATGTTGGAAGAGGAAGCCCTGGAGGAGCAGGAGAACATTGAGGCAACCCCGAGTAGGACTGGCAGGAGCACCAGAAAGGGAGAGGCACCCATTCCAGGTGAGTAACCTGACTTTCCCTGCTTCTTTCTAAGTCTCATTTTCTTACACTGCAGGACACTTGATGAGCCTGGCTAAAAGACCTTTCCAGGGATGGGCATGACAGACCATGGCAATTCCTCTTCCATTCATTTCTCTCACACAGTTAAGACACTTACAAAGGTGGGCAGTGGTGGCACATACCTTTAACCCCAGTACTCAGGAGGCAGAGGCAGGTATCTCTTGTGAGTTCCAGGCCAGCTCGTTCTTCAGAGTGAGATCCAGGCTAACCAGGGCTAAATAGTTAGACCATGTCTCAAAAATAACAATAAAACAGAGGCTAGGGAGATGGCTGCTCTTCCAGAGGCCCTGTGTTCGATTCTTAGCAACTACTTGGTGGCTCAGACCATCTATAGTGGGATCTAATGCTCTCTTCTGGCATAAAGGTGCACATGCAGATAGAGCACTCATACATAAAATTTTTTAAAAAATCTTAAAAAACAAAGCAGATTCCCGAAATCTTCTCGTAGGTGTGTACCCTCCCTACTAACATTCTAGCACAACAGCCATGCCCTTCTTTGCTGAGTGACTCCATTGCATACTCTGGCCCCATATTCCTCCTAAGCAGGGTCAACAGTACGGAGTGCTCTGCTGTGCTCTTCAGAAGTGACCGTCATGGAACAGCCCTTGGAGGGATGCACACTCTCCTCACCAGAGACCCCTCGACTCCCTCCTCAGACTGGAGTTGTACTCTGCTCTGCCAGGAGAGACCAGGATGGGCCTGAAGTTGTCTCTTGCCTTGATCCACTCACCATACTTCCTGAAAAAGGGGGGGACCAAAAGGCTGCTGCTAATTCAGACGCATCAGAGACTGAGAAACTGCCAGGCTTTGTGGAGGTCCCTGCTTCTCTCCCAAGTCCTGTGTCCTCAAGGACCAGCGACACAGGAAAGAGACACGTGTATGGGAAAGCAGGTTCTCAAAGCCGGCTACTCGAGAGCAGAGTGGAGGCAAAGACAACGCCTGTGATGACCCCTGTCTGTGGAACTTCATCAGGAGTTGATGCCTCAGAGATTCCTCCCAGAGCTGCCAGAGGGACCTTGGCTGAAGATAGAGGAACACAAGGCAAGGGGCCAGAGGGGGCGCTTCCAAAAGTCTCGGAAGCGACAGTCTGCGCCAACAACAGCAAGGTCAGCTCCACCGGGGAGAAGGTGGTGCTGTGGACAAGGTAGGTAGCGACAGCTGTGTGCAGGGTGGCACACATCTAAGCATGGCCTGGGCTAACCACGCTGCCTGGGTTCCAGGGAAGCCGATCGAGTGATTCTCACCATGTGCCAGGAGCAGGGGGCTCAGCCCCACACCTTCAGCATCATCTCTCAGCAGCTGGGAAATAAGACCCCTCTTGAGGTGAGGCGGGAAGGGAAATATGATGGGAACTGAGGCAGGAGGATGGGACCAATGGCGTTTACAGTCAGGAGAACTTTTTTTTCTTTTGAGACAAAGCTTCTCTATGTAACAGCTCTAGCTGTCCTGGAACTTACTCTGTAGACCAGGCTGCCCCTGCCTCCCAAGTGTTGGGATTAAAATGCGCGTACCACCACCGCCTGGCTTTTAAGAACTTTAATGGCAGTAGATGGTTATTATAAGGGTTGGCCTGAAAAAAGGCTTGACCTGTCAGGGTGGTAGTTTTTTCTTTCTTTTTTTGGGGGGAGCAAGGGCAGGATTTCACTATGTCCCTAGCTGTCCTTCAATTCAGGGATCCATCTTGTGTCTGCCTCCACATTGCTAGAATTAAAGGTATGTATCACCAAGTCTGGCAACAAAAAAAAAGTTCTAGTTTTGTTACTAGGAACACTGCTCTGTCTGCGGCATTATCCTGTCTGTACAGAAGATACGACCTTTGGTCTTACTCTGTGTAGTAAGTGGGAGCCCAGTTCATCATAAGCAAACTAGAACCGTGAGCACAACCCTTTTCCTTCACTAGGTTTCCCACCGTTTCCGAGAGCTCATGCAGCTCTTCCACACAGCCTGTGAGGCCAGCTCTGAGGATGAGGATGACGCCACCAGCACCAGCAATACAGACCAGCTCTCTGACCATGGGGACTTGCTGTCTGAAGAAGAGCTGGATGAGTGAGACCCTGGGAAGGAACGGTGTCATCTGCCAGGACTAACCCAACAGCCATCTGTACAAGGGTGGTTGTACTTCACTTATGAGAGACCTTGAGCTCCTTCTGTAGAGCTAAGGACAGAGTCAGCCTGAAGATGGCTGTGTGGCCTCTGTCGCTCTCAGGGACTTCAGTGAAGACCTTACAAACCCAATCTGTAAATAGCATCGAAGGAGATGGTGATCTCAGTGTTTTTAAATGTACAAATGCCTATGTCAAGTAGCAGGTCCCAACACACTGGGTTCCCGCACCTGGCAGCTTTTATTATAAATTATTTCCCCAGTACCCTTCCCTGCAACTTCAGTTTGAAAGGCTGTCACCCTCCTGGTAACACTGGGCCAGGCTGCGTAAGTCTTGCAGCAGCTCCTCCATGTCATCCTGCTCCACCCCAGCGTCCATGAAGCTGGCCCAGCGCCGCAGGTCAAGTCTGTTGAGCTCTTCAGCCAAGTCTCCCAGGGTCTGGTGCAAGGATGAAGACGAGCGCAAGGCCCCAAACACGGGGATGCTTTGCACTGCTGCAGAGGGACAGAAAAGAGTGGGCTGGGGTCTGCTCTGGGACTCCTGTACGGAGCAGCACGTCTGGGACTTGGCGGAATGACTGAAGTTCAGCAGGAAAGTGTCTGTGTCCCCAGTGTGTCAGTACCCCAGGAGCCTGTAGTCCTGTAGAGGAATGCTCAACTGTGAACTTCTTTTCTTGAGCACTTTTAATTCAAGAGAAAGAGTAAAACTGCTCCTATGTGGCTGAAGTGTTAATTTTCTTCATGTCCTACCTGCACACTTGGGACTGTCCAGGGCCATCCCCTTGTTACTGCAGCTTGAGAAGAGGTGTGGGTAAGGAGGAGCCACTCTGCAGGGGGTCTGCAGCAGATGTGATGAGCTGCAGGCAGAGAATGGTGACTCAGCAGGGAGGCACAGGCTGCTGGCAGCCAAGGAAAGGGCAGGTGCTATACTGACCTTAAGACTCTAGGATGCTCGTGTTGTAAGTACTGAGCCAAGACTTCTTCTCCAGAGGCACATGCATGGAGAGCAGAAGGCAAGGGTGTCCCTGGGTTGAGCTCACTGACAGAACAAAGCCAAACCCACATTTACTCTTTGGCTGCATGAATGGAAGCTAAGAATTCTTACATTCTTGGACCATCAACTGAATCAATCCAGAGCTTTTTTTTGGGGGGGGCAGTGATGGTAGGAAGAAGCCTAGACATTAGGGAGACAAAGTCACGGGCAGGTTCTACGAGGGCCTCTAAGAGCCCAGGTTTACCTGGTGTGCCTCGCTTTTTCTACACCCCTCAGCACCACTGACTGGGCGAAGCATCGACTCCCAGCAGAGTCCCCACAAGCAGACAGTGGGGTCCATGGCGTGGCTCCTCCAAGCTGCACTAGGGTATCAGGAAGGGACTGGCCTGGAACCAGTGGGAAGGGGATAATTGCCTCTGCTGTCACCACCTAGAGACCAGAAGGTATGAGGTTACAGAGCTTTTCCTCAGCTCTGGCCCAGCCCTCTAAAGCTTCCTGGTTTTGTTTGTTTTTCAAGACAGACAGGTTTTTTATTTCTGTGTAGCCCTGGCTGTCCTGGAACTTGCTCTATAGGCCAGGCTGGCTTCAAATCCACAGAGATCTACCTGCCCTTGCCTCCCAAGTGCTGGGGTTACCACCACTGTCTGGCCCTCTAAAGCTTCTTACCTTTTTCCCAGAGAAACTTAGCAGATGAGCCAAATGAGCCATGGGAACCATGGAGGAGCGCAGGCGATAGGGAGCGGTGACTGTGTCCAGGGCTGTAGCCAGGATGGCGCCACAGTGGAAGGGCAGAGTGGCCTGTCAGATGGGACAGGAGGAATGCGGTCCTTCAGGTGAGGAAGCATGTGGGGGACAGCGTTAAGAGCATAAGAGCATGGGTTGCGGTCTTTGTCCTGAGGCTGACTAGACAAAATGCTGAGAGGTCACCTTCAGGCTGGGAACCTAACTAGATGTTAAAGTGCTTCCCAAGTATGTGCTGTGTCGTAGGTTCAGTCCCCAGCAACACACACCACACACAGACAAGAGGGAGGGGTGGGGGACGACAATCGGAGCCACAGAAGATAGAGCTCTGAGCCTTACGTCATAATGTAGGTGGGGGAAGTTGACAGGTGGCTTGGGTCGCAGGCCCAGGTTGCCTCCCAGGGATAAGGGACAGACAAAAGAGCTGTACCCAGTCAGGTGCACCAGACCAAACGCTGTGTTTAGGAGACGATAGATGTTTTTCTGGGGCTCCTGGAAAAAAAATGAGAATGGCTTACTCCACATTCCTCAGTGGGGTCCTCTCCTTCCCACCAACTCTGCTGCTTTTCTTGGTTTCCACTCACCCCAAGATTGTAGGGACCAGGGAGCAGACCCCATGATATTACTCCCCGGCCTGAATACTCATCTTGTAGTAACTCTGCAGTTTTAGCACCTACTCCGGAGAAGCCATCGTGTAGGTCACACAGGATCTGGAAGCCCTGGAGAGAGGAAGGGCAGCAGAAGTAGACTGCACGATGGACGCTTCTACCCAGCACCCCCTTGTCACAGCTACCTGCAAGTAGTCACATTCTTCCACATAGAAATGCAGTCTGTCCTCCAGCTCCTCCAGGTACCTGGGTTCCTTCAGCACACTCTCCCCTTGGCCAAAAGCCTCCAGCCGACCTGTTTCCCTACCAAAAATCACCATGAGAAAGACTCAAACCCTGTCTTCAACTCCCCAGTCTGCTGTTTTGGAGGAGGGCAGGCGAGACAGGCCCCAGCCTTATCCAGCGTGTTGGTGGGACCCAAGCTTTGCCTCACAGCCTCTGGAGTCCCCATACCCATCATGGTTGTACTTCTGAATCACACAGATGCTCCGCGGGTGTAGGTGCACTCTGAGGAAGTCTGACCAGACTCTGACGCTGTTCTCTGTGGGGATAAGTGGTTGTGGAGTTGTACCAGGGATGACTGGTGGACAGCACCATCCCCGTCCCTGCTCTGTTCAGTCTCCAGAAGCAAGGGCTACCTCACCTTTGCCATTTTGGATAGGTTTGGCCTTCCAGACACCATCAGTACTCAGCACTCCCTGGGAGGGGAGAGAAAACTGACATTCAGTTCTAGTTAGTTCTCAGCCGTGGGTTATCTCTACATACGTATGTGTATATATGTGTGTGCCCATGTGAGTTTATATGTACCACATGCACGAGATGCCCAAAGCTAAAAGAGGGCATGATATCCCCAGGAGCTGGTTACAGGCTGTTGTGAGCTGCCAAATGGAGGCATTAGGAACTCTGGAAAAACAGCTAGGACTCTTAACCTCTGAGCCAGAGTAAGACTCCTTCCTGCCAGTTTAGAGCCAAAGGTGCTTTTTCCAAAAAGGTATTTACAGTGACTAGCATCGCAATTTTCTGCTCCACGCAGCTAGTTGGCGTGTTTGAAGGTTTGGGGCAGAGCCTGTCACCTCTGCACTCAGAAGGTCCTGGAGGTTAGGGTTCTCTGGGTAAGCTTCTTCTCTGTGTGTGGTGAGCTTCCCTTGCCTGAAAAAGAATAGAGATTAAACAGAGTATCCCTCCGATCTCTCCAGCCTTCTATGAGAATACACTGGACTGCACCCCCACCCTCCTCACCCCCCTGCCCCGGCACACATCAGACACACCATGCTATTGCAGTGTCTAGCTGTCGGTCCTTGTAGAGGCCACCTTCTTCCTTTAGTGAATTCAGACTGCCTGCACAGAATGAAAGACAAGGTCAAAGCCTAGAGGACAAATAATCTCCCTCCCTCAGACTAATTTGATCAGTGGGTTGTGGCAGTGTCTCTGGCACATGGCAAAACTTCTTGTTTTGCTTTTGAGATGAGGTCTCCTACGTGTCCCTCAATGGTTTACAACTGTGTAGACCAGGTGGGTCCTGAACGCAGAGATCTACCTGCCTCTGCTGGGTTTAAAGGCGCGCCCAACCGCGCCGAGCACTGATTGCTCTTGGCTTGTAGAAGCATACTTGGTTATACGTTAGATGGGATGGGGAATCTCGGCTCTTGTCTTTCTGTCAATAGCTGTGATTCTGTGTTGAGTGCAGTAGCTTAACAGTATACTGCCCATTCCAGAGCCAGCTCTTGAGTTGAAGAGCCTGGCCTTCCAGCATCCCCGGGGTTTGTCTGCAGTGTGGATCTGAAGTGAACTAAGATAGGGCCTCACCAGCAAAACGGGGAAACTTGGCTGAGCTCCGCCACCACCTCACCTTTCAGATCCATGACGATGAGTCGCGGCGTATAGGTTTCCTGGCCATGCAACGTCCGGCCGGTTCGGTACAAGACGTCGGGGCACAGTTCCCCCGGCGACTCTTCGCCCTCGGCCATCCGTCCCAGCGCAGCATCCTGCAGGGTGCAGAGGACTGAGCGGAGTGGGAAGGGGGGGCAGGGCCACGTACCTCCCACGGGGAGCGCCGGGCTGCCACCAGGGGCCTGACCTGCTGGTTCCACCAGTGCGCCCCGACGAAACCCGCGAAATGTCCCAACTGCAGCGTGAGCACCTCGCGGGCACCGCCCGCCATAGCACCGCCACTCCACGGCACTCCACGGCCTCCGTGCCCCGGGGGCGGGGCCTGCGCCCTATTGGCTCTTAAGCACGTGCTTTCCCGTTGGCTACAGGATTCGTTAGTCTCCCAGGCGCTTCTCACGCCCCGCCTCTTCCTCTCCTGGGCTTGCCGGAAGCTGCTTCTTCCTTGCTGGCGTCAGGCAGCTCTGCGCTTCGGATGCCGCCTGCTGTGGGCGTGGTCATGGAAGATTCTCTCACCTGTTCCTATCACTCTTTTCGCAGATGCCTCTCTCGCCTAGCTAATAATTCCCAGGAGAAGAAAACCTGACGAGGAACTGGACGCTCCTCGGAATCCTCCCCTCACTTCCTCCTCCCATCCGGAAGGTCCCAGTCTGGCTAACCTAATGGGCTGGACTCTGGGTCATCTATTGGCTTCTGTTACGTTATGGAAAAGATTGTAGTCCCCTTTGCACTTCTGTGCTATTTTTATTTTCTTTTAAATCTGATTTGCTATTTGGGCTACAGAAAGGCTCACTGTAACTAACCCCAGGCTGGCCTCTGCTTCCAGAATGCTGGAAATAAAGGCGTGTGCCACCAATAAGGCTGGGGACATTCTTTTACGTATTTATAAGCTGTTTTGGATATCCAGTTTGCAAAGGTTTTCCAAGCCTCCTATGTTAGCACAAACCTGTAATTCCTGTTCTTGGATATGGAGGGAGACCAGTTCAATCCTTAGCTCTATATCGAGCTGAAGGCCAACTTGGGCTACGTGAGACCATGTCTAATGTTCAAAATAAATATTTTTTTTCCAACACACGGTTTATCTGTGTAACATCCCTGGTTATCCTGGAACTCACTCTGTAGACCAGACTGACCTCGAACTCACACAGATCCACCTGCCCCTGCCTCCTCAGTGCTGGGATTAAAGGCGTGCGCCACTGCCGGGTTAAACAAAACAAGTTAGTAGTCTGGAATGTCTTGCTCTCCCCCACCCCACCTCCCCCGGCTGTCTGGTATTTAAGGCAGTACATTTCTGGACATAAATCCATTGCTAGTAATTGTATAGAAAATACCTATTTAGGGCTGGAGAAATGGCTCAGTGATTAAGAGCACTGGCTGTTCTTCCAGAGGACCCAGGTTCAGTTCCCAGCACCCACATGGCAGCTCACAGCTGTCTGTAACTCCAGTTCCAGGGGATTTGACATCTTCACACCAATGCACAGAAAGTTAAATAAATGATAAGAAAATACCCATTGGGCAGCATTTTGTTTTTTATGACTATGCCATTTATTTTTATTCTTTGGGGTAAAGTTTTCAATATTTGCGTGTGGGATATGTGCATGATACTTTGCTGTGGGAGTTGGTTCTGTATAACCCCATGGGTCTTCAGGTTCAAACTCTGGTCTTCAGGCTTGTCAGCAAGCACCTCCTACCTTTGAGTCATCTGCCTGGGCCCGTTTATTTTATTCATATTGACACTTTTATTTGTGGTTGTAGTGAGAATTCCTTTTCTAGGAACATCTACTACTCCATTCTTGTACATGTTAGAAATGTTGAATAACCATCTTTTATTCTTTTATTTCAAACTCGATAAAACAAAAAAAAATTTTTTTGGTTTTTCGAGACAGGGTTTCTCTGTATTATCTTGGAAGCTGTCCTGGAACTCGATTTGTAGACCAGGCTGGCCTCGAACTCACAGAGATCCACCTGCCTCTGCCTCCCGAGTGCTAGGATTAAAGGCGTGCGCCACCAACGCCCGGCTTCGATAAAACAAATTTTGTCTTGAGTGGTTCTCTGTTTCTTTGTGACTCTGAAAATATTTCCAAAACAAAGTAGGATTCTGCCAGAAATAGATGGCTATAGTGAACTTAAAGTTCATCACTTACAGACAAGCAGGAGGCACCAGGCTCCTCTGTCCTCTAACTGGTGGTGGGTGCCTGCTTGTCAACTTGAAACTGAAACTAACCTACTGTAGGACTCAGCCCCCATGACCTGAGAAAGAATGCCCCTTACATAAGTCTTTGCCTCCTAATCAGTAAGATGGGAAGTTTGTGAAGGAGGCTGGTCCCAGCACATGGAGGAAAAGGATAGGAATTTCTACCAATGAAGGACTTTTAACTTTTATTTAAAAGACTATCTGAAATCTACATAGGCCAGGCTGGCTTCCAACTCACAGATGATCTGTCCCTCTTTCAGTGGAGGCCATAGAAAGCTCCATTGATTTGTTGGAGCTGGAGAGATGGCTCAGTTGTTCAGCACACTCGTTGCTCTTACAGAGGACCCAGACTTGATCTAAGTACTCACATGGATCCATAATTCCAGTCTTAGGGGATTCAACACCCTCTTCTGATATCCATATCCATGCATGATACCCCATGCATGTAGCATGTATACTGCTCATATATATATAATGAAAACAGAATTTTAGAGCTGGAGAGATTGATCAGTGGTTAAGAGAATGTAACTCTTTCCAGAGGGCCGGGGTTTAATTCCCAGCACCTGTGCCAGGCAGCTCAACATTCTTGCAACTCTTTCTAGCCCAAGGGAACTGAGACCACAGGGCACATACAACATATACATGGCATACACTAACATACTCATGCAGACCTCTGAAGGCACACATTTAACACACACATGTCACACACTAACATAGCCACAGAGAAATTTTTAAAAATAAAAGTCCAGTTTTGTGCCAAGTCACCATGCCAGCCATTTCTTTTTCTTTGTGATATGCCCCTTTCTACAGAATTAAAAACCTTTTCTTTTTCTTTTTTCTAAGACAGGGTTTCTCTGTATTGTTTTGGAGGCTGTCCTGGAACTCACTCTTGTAGATCAGGCTGGCGATCTACAGTAGATCAGTGCGAGGTACTGTCAAGTACCCTGAGGGTTTAGCATTATTGTGACCACTAGATAAGGTGACACAAGAAAACAGCTAATAAGTGGGAAATCCGGAAATTATATACAGGATTCCTGCTGGGCATGGTACAGGCACCTGTAGTCCTAGCACTCAGGTGGAAGCAGAGGCATCCTGAGTTCAATATAACTGCTGCCTACATAGAAAATCTCTGGTCAGTACCTGCTACATGAGACTTGGTTTCAAAAAAGAAAACAAACCAGTTTTCTGGGGGTAGTGAGTTGGCAAAGTGGGTAATGGCATTTGCCACGGGACATGCAAGCCTGACAATGTCCCCAAACTCACATAAACACAGGTGAGGACTAACTTCATACAGTTGTCCTCTGGCCTCCATCCATGTTCTTTGGCATGTGTTCATACAATAATAAAAACAGCAACCTCTGCGAGTTCCTTATTTAGTTTTTTGAAGGTGTATACACAGATACAATTCTATCTGTATGAGTGGTAATTCATTATGCAGCATGTATACTATAGCAAGCACTCAATTCTCTCAGGAGTATGTGGGAAGGGGCTGGCCACATCAACCTGCCAGAACTCAGCTGGGGCTTCAGTGACATTCTGTAGAAGCAAGAAAGGTACCCACAGGGAAGTGAGAAGTTACCAGAACAGGGGCGGAATTAGCATGGGAATCTTGGTCTCCTGAACTGACTTGTGTTCATAAGACAAAACAACTAAAACTTTCTGTAGAACTGAGTTTCTGCAGGTCGACAAAAGAGAATTCCAAAGAAATCGATTTTGCCAGTGTGAACATTTTCGTTATTACAAATCCAACACAACACTCAGAAATAGATCTATCTTTACTGTGAAAACCACAACCACAAGAAACTGGTATTATTTGTGGGAACAAAGGACATCCTATTGCCACATGAGCCATCACTGCAGATCCGGCTGTCCCACTGGTGTGGTCCCTAGGGACTTTTCTCATGTGAAGAGGATGGAGGGAGACACACCTTCCAGGCACGCTGCGCTGGTGCTTACAGGGAGGCACACAGCCGCTCCAGCTGTCCGGGGTTGCAATTACTCAGGAACTTCAGCTCCTTCTTTCCTTCTTCTGTTGCAGCTGGAATGGAGCCAAACACACACAAATGCAGCCTCTTCCTGCTACAAACTGTGGTCAAGGCATCTCTGTGCTCATCATGACCACTGCATCAACCTGCTCGTCCGCTCCACCTCCCGCTCGCCACACGCTGCTGCCCTTATCCCCTCTCTAGTCTCACATTCTGATTACTATTGGCTTACACATTGTTTTTGCTGGGGCAAGAGACCAAATTCAGGGCTAGGTAGGCACTCTACAATCAATCATTCCTTGAGTCGGGGTGTCACGTAGCCCAGTGTGAACTGGGGCCTCAGCAGTCACCACTGGCTGCCCATCACTCAAGGACAGAGCACTGTACTTTGTCTACATGGTGTGAAGCAGTACACAAGGAGTTAAGAGCCTCTGATGCCAGGGCAGTGGTGGCCACGCCTTTCATCCCAGCACTCCAGAGGCGGAGGCAGGTGGATCTCTGTGCGATCAAGGCCAGCCTGGTCTACAGAGTCCCAGGACAGCCAGAGTTACACAAAGAAACCCTGTGCCAAAAAAGCTACAGAGTTAAGAGCTTCTGAAGCCAGGGTGTGGCACAGAGGCTGAGACTTCAGCTCTGGAGGCTCGGCCAGGAGACCCTGAGTGTGAGGTAAGCACAGTACATAGTGAGACACTGCTTTCAAAGAGAGAAGCAGAGTTCTTCTGGACAAGGCGGGAATTTAAGTAGAAACACCTTCTCTAGGCCTCTCTTTGTCTCTCTGCCTCTCTGTTTCCTGTCTGCACTGACACAAACACCCTGTGCTCCTCCAAGTACAAGGTCATGGAGCCTTCTGAAGTGGTGAGCCCAAACAAGCTAACTTACTGGGTCACGGCTGACTCAGCCGATCGTGCTGTGAGTGGCCTGGCAGGGCAGGGTGGTGACATAACTGACCTTTCTCATGCTGAAGCCAATTATTCTCCAGATAATATTGAAAAGAACTCTCAAACTCCTTTGGGTTATAGTTGGAAGTGAGGATGGGAAGAAAAGGATCTAAGGCATCAAATCCTTCCTGGAGACGACAAGGATAAAACAGTGTCAGTCAGGCACCAAGGGAAGAGACTGACTGTGAGGACAGGGTCTCCTCCTCTGCTCTACGCTACCCCACTCTCCGCTGGCCATGCCTGCGGGCTCCCCCTAGGTATTATTCAGTATTATTAAACTCTAAGCCAGTGGTTGTCAACCTTTCTAATGCTGCAACCCTTCAATACAGTTCTTCATGTTGTAGTGATCCTCAACCATAAAACTATTACGTTGCTACTCCATAACTGTAATTCTGCTACTGGTATGAATTGTAATGTAAATATCTGATATGAACCCCAAAGGGGTGACCCACAGGCTGAAAACCCCTGCTCTAGATGGAATGATTACTCTCAGGGAAACAGGTTTCTCCAGGACATGACCTTTCCCAGAAGCTCGTGTGGCAAATATGCTGTTCGGGACTTGAAGAGCGATCCGGTTTGGCTCAAACTCAACACAATTGCACCTCCATGCTGAAAAAATAAAAAAGAAAGAGTTGAGTTTTAAAAATATGGAAATAACAGACATCATGCTACACAGTCAGCTGTAGATTTTTTTCACAATAGTGTCATGAAATATGGTTTAGCATAATTAATTGTCAACAAATCAGTTATTGCTTCTTTTTTTTTTTTTTTAATTATTATGGCCGGGCGTTGGTGGCGCATGCCTTTAATCCCAGCACTCGGGAGGCAGAGGCAGGCAGATCTCGGTGAGTTCGAGGCCAGCCTGGTCTACAAAGTGAGTTCCAGGACAGCCTCCAAAGCCACAGAGAAACCCTGTCTCGAAAAACCAAAAAAAAAAAAAAAAAAAAAATTATGTATATAGTGTTCTGTCTGCCTGTCTCCCTTCGGGCCAAAAGAGGGCACCAGATCTCATTACAGATGGCTGTGAGCCACCATGTGGTTGCTGGGAATTGAACTCAGGATCTCTGGACCATCTCTCCAGCCCTTGTAACTGCTTCTAGATTTGGTTCTGACAATAAATTACTACAAGGTCTTAAGTTTATCACAATATCCTTTAGGTTGTCAATTTCTTCTGCAGTGCTACAATCCTGGCACTTAAGCAACCGAATGAAGCAGAAGAACTGAGAATGGGGCATAGTCTGAATGTGGCCTGAGCTACACAATGAGCTCATATCTATCCGCCTCACGAGGCTTGATGGTTCACGTCTTAATTCCCAGCACCCAGGTGGAGCCCTGTTGAGTTCCAGGCCAACCAGAACTACACTCTGAGACCCTGAGACCTTCAAATAAAAAATGTAGTATCTTGAACAACAAAAGGAGAGACAGGCAGACAGACAGACACTAGTGAGAAGGCTCAGCCAGTAAAGGAACTTTCTACAGTGCCACTCTGTACAACTACAAATAGTAAGTCAGATAAAAGAATAGTAAAGATGCAAACACATTTTCCTCTACAAACCTTGAGCACTTACCCAATCATTTTTCACCATTTTCCTTAGACTGTGGACAAGGGCAAGTTCCTCTGGGGCAATCTACATGTTAACAGAGAGTGAAGACATTAGGACTTTACTTTTCTGGCTGTTTCCCTGAGAAAACTGAATTGACAATTAGATAAGAGAAAAAGCTTTTAGGCACTGTAATCATAGTACCTCAACAGCCTTCTGGAATAAGAGAGGTGAGGAGGAAGGAGAGGAAGCAGGTAGGAGGAGAAAGGATCACTGCCCTAAGCGCACCTTCCTCCCTCGAGAGCTCTGATCTCTACATAGACCACAGCCTCTCCGAAAACAACAGTTAGAACCGAAGAAGAATGCAAAGCTCCTGGAGCTCCTGCTGCCCTACTCTTTTCAGCACGATCCCTTGTTTGGCAGTGTATGATGGAGCATGTGACATCATCTGCTAGGTAGTTTTCTGTCAACTTCACACAAGCCAGGGGGGGTGTCTGGGAAGAATGAACTTCAACTGGCCCACAGAGAAGCCTGTGGGGCATTTGTAGTGATTGGTGGGGTGGAGGAGGGATGGTGCCATCCGTGGACAGGTGGTCCTGGGCTGTGTAAGAAAATAAACTACAAGCAAGGAGGAGAAAGGCAGTAAGCATCACTCCCCCAGGTCCTCGTCAGTTCCTGTGTCTAGTGCCTGCCCCATCTCCTTCAGTGAGCAACTCATCTGGCTCCGTCCCTCTCCTCCACAAGCTGCTTTGGGTCCTGGTGTTTTATCACAGCATCAGAAAGCCAACTAATACTTAAGTTTTCTTTCATTGTGTATCTTTCCCTCTTTTTTACAGTGCTGGAGAAGGAGCCTGTATCCGTCTACATACTAGGCACTCACGTGCCCACCACAGACTTACACTGCTGGCTCGTTACTATTCACGATCTTTTTGTTGTTTTAAAGACTTATTTATTTTTTTGTGTTATCAGTGGTTTTCCTGAATGTATGCATGTTCATTATGCGAGTGCTCATTGCCCGAGCTGGACTCCCTGGAACTAGAGTTCCAGACGGCTATGGGCTGCTGTCTGAGTGCTGGGATAAAGCTGTGCCTTCAGTAGGAGCAGTCAGTGCTCCGAACCATTCAGCTATTGTCCTGGTTCCTACTTAACCTAAAACATTCCATGTGGCCCACCCAGGAAGGCATCAGGCTCTGTATGGGATAGAACCAGAGAAAATCAATATTCCTACCAGGGTCCTGTCTTCTCTTTTCAGCGTGCTCCTTCCCCAGAGGGCATTGACTCCGTCCACTGCTACCAGGAGGTGGAAGAGCCCTGTGGAACTCTGGTTCCTCAGCTCCTTCAGCACGATCCCGACAGCGTCTGTGGCATTCCTCACTCGTGTTATGCCCTGTTCAACAACTTCTCCTAGAGGACTGCCCTTCTCTGTGCTCTCTCTCCTATTCCAAACGTACTTCTCTTGAACCTTTATCTAAAAATAAGCAAAGAAAGAAAGAAAATGCAGCAGGCTGCCTGTTTAGGCTGAAGCCTTTCCGAGTCAGGATGACAGCCCACAGAAGCGATCTGAGCGATAGGAGGTGCAATGCAGAAATCAAAGACTTAGCCGGGCGTTAGTGGCGCATGCCTTTAATCCCAGCACTCAGGAGGCAGAGGAAGGCGGATCTCTGTGTGAGTTCGAGGCCAGCCTGGTCTACAGAGTGAGTTCCAGGACAGCCTCCAAAACAATACAGAGAAACCCTGTCTCGAAAAACAAACAAACAAAAAAAAAAAAATCAAAAGACTTCTAACCTTCCTTTCCAGAGAGGGGCTCTGAGACTGATTCTCATACTTTAGGTCAGGTCAGGCTTCAACTTAAGGCAATTATCCTGTTTCAGATTTCTAAGTGCTAGGATTAAAGATGTGAACTACCGCGCCTAGCTCTCCTGACTAAAATGGTCCAAACAGGACACTGGCATCATCCACCCATCCCATAGTACTCATTATTAAATCTCAAGCCCCAAGCATGCCAGGTAGGTGCTCCCTACTGAGCTCCACCAAGCTGTGGCACTCACATTTTCTTTTCTTTTCTTTTTTTTTTTTGACAGCGGTTCTCAGTTGTCTGGCTATCCTGGAACTTGCTCTGTAGACCAAGCTGGCCTAGAACTCACAGTGATCCACTTGCCTCTGCCTCTCAAGTGCTGGGATTGAAGACATTTGTCACTACCACCAGGTTGGCACTCACATTTTCAGAAATACCTTTATTTACTTGTGTATGTGTACATGCATGTATACATATGAGGGCACATGTTAGCCGCCAAACTGGTTGGTCAAAGAACACCTTGCAAGAGTTGTTTTCTCTTCCCATTATGTGGGTTGGGACATGAGGTACAATGACAAGTGCTTCATCTCGACAGCTAACACCCGTTGTTAACATGAGTCTTCCTATTACAGTGGTAACCCTCACTCTAGAGCTCAATCTAAGATGCTAGGGATTATGCATTCCAGGCTGAGGCAGGAGGACTGTAAATTCAAGGCCAGATTGAGGTACAAACTAGGCTCAGAGCCAGCCCAAACTACGAAGCAAATGAAACAAACAAAAACAGGTATGATAATCTTACTCTTAGGTGTCTGTCTTATCTGGAGGAGATCTTACTGTTGGCCATATGCTTAAGGAGGATTCTCTCAGAAACAGGAAATCAATTTAGACTTTTATTTTACTAGCCACCAAATGAGCAGCTGATAGCTGTCGCCCCTTTAATGAACAATGAACTGTAAGTTGGAGTCCACTGTGAGCAAAACACATTAAAGGGATACAAAACGACTTATCTATTACTGGTTACAATGCCAGTTCTTCACAGTACCCAACTACTCAGGCTGCAAAGAGGACGACTCTGGGCAGAGGTCACCCTGCACTGAATCCCCGTGTTCAGTCACCTGGCTCAGGAAGTGCTTATTGGTAGTCTTGAAGTTCTTCAGCCAGGTAGAAGCCTCCAGGGGCTGGTCAAAGCGCTGTTTGTTGTAGGTAGATTGCAGAAGTTCCCGGCAGTTTTTCACCCAAAGATGAGCTAAAAATGCACATGAAAACACATTAGAAACAGACTGTTGTAACTTGAAATATTGTATGCTTTTCTTTCATTTTGTATTATGGATGTTCTGAATGCAGAGATCAGAGTCCCGGGCATCAGGGTTAAAAATGCCAGGAGCTGCTGTGTGGGTGCTCTTAACTGTTGAGTCATCTCTCCAGCACCATGAATTTTAGTATGTTAAAAATAAACGAACATATTTTCTTGTGTGCAGTGGTACTGGGGAATGATCATTTATGTTCATGATTTTAGACTGAACATTGCATTATAATTAGTACATAAGACATGGAGTAGACTGTCAATTTTGCTCACCGCTAATTTTTATTTATTTATTTATTTATTTTAATTTTTTTTCCAGACAAGGTTTTCTTTGTGTAGTGCTAGCAGGCAGTCTTATAACTCACTCTGTAGATCAGAATGGACTTGAACTCACACAGATATGCCTATCTCTGCTGGGATTAAAGGCGTGTACCACCACCCAGTTTACTGCCAGTTTTTAAAGGCAAATTAGAAAATGTGGACATACACAACTCTGAACAAAAGAAGACATATGCAAAATGTGAGGATGCAAACCCACACTGAAGTGCCAAGGAGCTCCGATGGAGACTCTGGATACTCAAACACCCACTGACAGGAAAAGAAGCCTGCAGTTGCCCCTTTCAAATCTGAGGCAGGAGGGGGTTTGCTTAGCTCAAGAATTCAGAGTCAGTGGGCACTATAGCATGGTCATGAAATAAGCATGGTCTAAGTCACAGTGCTGCCCGACACAGGAGACAGACAGGAAGGTCTTACCATCTGGGATATGCAGAACCAGCCAGTCATGTTTTGCACAGAAATGAACTGCATGGCAAAGACTGAGAGTTTTTCCTGTTCCCTTCTCCCCATCTAAAGTGGGTGTTAAAGAAAACATCATCATAAGCAACATGCTTCTGTCAACAGCACTTTACAGGCAGGTGTGGTGGTGCAAGTCTTTCATCACAGAACTCGGCAGAGAGAGCCAGGCGGATTGGTGTGACGGCGAGGCCAGCCACTGCTACAGAGCGAGACGACCTGTCTCAACAACCAAAACCCAAACAACCAGCATTCCCTTTTCTCAAACGAGGGGGAATGCTGGGCTGATTAGGACCCAGCACGTGGGAAAGGATACAGAGAAGATAGCGTACAGCTGGGTGAGAAAACTTGGTATTTTTCAGGTAGCCCAGAAGCTCCAGGGCTGGTTTCCTAACCATCAGACAGGCTTCACCGAAAGTCTTCACCTAAGCAAACAGGAGGGGAAAGAAGAAGGTGGGCATGGGATTTCTAGCCATGCTAACCACAAGCACACTAAGGCTGACACAGCAAATCAGAGCTTCAAACTAATCCCTATTCAGGTATGAGAGGCTGGGTTGGTGCCGAATTTAAAAATTGATCCATTTCTGCTAAAATCTGAGGTACATTGTTTCATATCAAGTAACATAAATAGATAGCTTTTGATCCTTCTTTTTAAAAAAGATGTTTAATTTATGTACTTTATGTATATGAATGCTCTATTTGCATGAATGACAGAAGAGGGCACCAGATCTCATTACAGATGGTTGTGAGCCACCATATTGTTTCTGGGGATTAAATTCAGGACCTCTGCAAGAGCAGCAGCCAGTCTTTACCTCTGAGCCATCTCTCCAGCCCAGTGCTGCTTCTTTACATGTATTTAATGTAGTGATGATGGGGATGAAATCCAGAGCTTTGTGCAACCAGGCAAACGAATGTAAGTACTCTACTGCTAAACTAGACCCCTAAGTCTAGTGCTGTTGCTTTTATAAAGACCTCTTCCTCCCCTAACAAACCTAATGATGGAGTAGGACCTGATAAGTGCAAATGAAACGAAGATAAATGGAGCACAATGTCTTATTGGGCAACACAACAGACAAAAATAAACAACAGTGGGAGGGGGCTTTTGTGTAAATGGGTCAGGAAAAGAACGGCGTGAATGTTGCGGCTTGGGTATGGATTGTCTCCCCAAACTCCTGTGTCTGAAGACAGCTCCCACTCAGCTTTCAGAGGTGGGACTGTGGGGATCGCTAGCTCTCCAGGGCTTTGACTTTCATCAAGTGGCCAGCGACAGAATAATAATGTGACGCATTATTGGAAGGTGGGGCCTAATAGGGGAGCAGGAGCACTGAGGGCAAGTCTAAGAGGGTTTTCTCTCTGTGGCCTCACCGAGGGGGGCAATTTGTCTGCCATGAAGCCACACGTCACTATAGCCCAGAGCAATGGTGCCCAACTAACCATGCACTAAAAACTTTGAAATTACAATAGTAAAAATCGCTTTTCTCGGGGATTTTTTTTGTCACAGAGATTCGAAGATGATTAACACTAAGCCACTCAAGTTGGTTAAACATAGCCTCTCAAAACCTGGAAGCTAAGGACTGAACTTTGAACATAGTGTAACAGTTTAAGAGCTACTTTAAAGAATTTCTTTGGTTGGGTCCTATTTTTAATCCTAATAAAAATGTTGATGACAATGCTGGTATGGGTTAGAATTTGTTTCTTTTCCTTCCTTCCTTCCTTTTCTTTCTTTTTTTTTTTTTTTTTTTTTTTTTGAGACAGGGTTTCTCTGTAGCTCTGGAGGCTGTCCTGGAACTCTTTCTATAGACCAGGCTGGCCTAGAACTCACAGAGATCCGCCTGTCTCTGCCTCCTGAGTGCTGGGATTAAAGGTGTGCAACACCACCGCCCGGCATGTTTATTTTCTAATATTAACCCTCATCAGTCAGTCAGTGCACTTGCTGCTAAGCCTGATGTTGAGCAGATTCATAAACTGTCAAGGTTGGAGAGAGCTGTCTCCCACAGCTGATCTCTGATACTCACACACGTGGTGTGGTAAGTACCGCACTGACTATAAGAATAAAATAAATGCATTTAAAAAATGTATCATTTTGCCAAGTGGGTGGTGGTGCACACTTTTAGTCCCAGCACTCGGGAGGCAGAAACAGGTGGATCTCTGTGAGTTTGAGACCAGCTCCAGGACAGGTTCCAAAGCTACACAAAGAAACCCTGTCTCGAAAAACAAAAAACAAACAAAAAAGTATAATTTCTAAGTATAATTCTGAAGGTGAAGGTGTGGTGATTTATGTCTATAATCTCAGCACCAAGGAGACTGAGGCAGGAGGATCGCTACAAATTGGAGCCGAGGCAAGATAACTAGGCAGGACCATGTTTCAAATGAGGACAACTTCCCCTCAAAAAAACCAACTAGCAAAACAAACAAACAAACAAACAAAAACAAAACCCAAACACTCCCAAAACAACCTCCCCCAAACAAAAGTAAGAACAACACCGTAATGAAAAGAAGGGGCTGAGACAGTGCTTGTACAGTGCATGGAAACCAGAGTTTAAGCCCCAACGCCCATAAAAACTATCTGGGCATAGTAGTATACTTGTAGCCCAGCTGTAGGGCAGCGGGGAGGTGGCACCTGGAGCTGCCACCAGCTAGTAGCCTAATAGGAGCCCCAGGTCCCAGTCAGAACTTGTCTCAGAGAAGAAGGGTGGGGTGGGCAGAGAGACGGTAGTAGTTAGGAATACTGGCTGCTCTTCAGAGGGCCCAGACTTGGTTCTCAGTTCCAAAATGGCTGCTTACAACTATCTGTAACTCTAGTCAGGGGATCCTAGCTTCTCTGGCACTGCATGCGTGTGGTACATAGACACACATGCAGGTAAAACACACACACAATTAAAAAAAAAACAGACAAGAAAGCCAATAAATACAACATGGATATGTCCCAAGGAAGGGCACTTCAGTCTGACCTCTGGCTTCTACACACATGTACATGTGTGTAACTGTACATACCACACACATACATTTTTTTCTTTCATTCTCTTTTTTAATATAACACAAGACCTCATGTAGACCACAGTGACCTTGAAGATCTTCTTGCTTCTCCCAGGGTACTAGGTTGACAGGTATGTGCCACCACAGGTGAGGTTTTGGAGTCATACTTCACACTGTAGCCAGACTGGACTATTACTCACCACGCAGTCCAAATTGACCCCAATCTTGAAGCATCCTTCTACTGCCGACTGTCAAGTCTAGGCTTACTGTTATGTGCCAACCTTAAATCCTACCTTAAATCCACTTAAAATAATTATCACAACGCACCTACCTGCATCCTGAATCGAGGAGGTAGGCCATGAGGGAACACTGTCTTCAGATCCTGGATGGGGATGCTGTAGTACTTGCCTTCATGTTGCTCCCCGTGCTTAGCCTAGAAACAGAAACACAAACAGGGACAAGAGGTTATGAAGTAATACACACCTTGAAAAGAATATGCTACCCTGCCTATTATTCCAGCGCTTGAAGGCTGAAGCAGAGTTATTTTGAATTCCAGGCCAGCCTAGGCTACAGAGACCCTACCTCAAAACAAACAAACAAACAAAAAAAAAACCACACAAAAACCAAACAAATCAAAAAAATGAAATCAGCTAACCACCAGCACACAGAGCAGATACTTCCTGCTAGGCCACAGCTGGGCAAACAACATCTCAGAGCAGGGAAAGTATTTCTTTTTGACACATAGTCTTGCTATGTAGCCCAGCTGGCCTGGAACATTTGTCTATCTTCCCGCTGTAGTTTCCTGACTGCTGAGATTACATGTGTGTGCCACCAGGCCTGTCTTTTCATTTAAAACCCTGGTTGTTGAGATCGCAAGAGGGTTCAGTAGGGAAGCATACTCAATGCCAAGCTTGACAACCTGAGTTGAAAACATAGGACTCACATGATCAATTCTTGAAAGTTCTTTGATTACATAAAAAAATCCAACCCATAACAAATAGGTCTAATAAAGTGTTGGCATCAACAAATCTAGTTGGTAGCCTGACTAATAAGTGCTAGCTGTTCAGTAATAAACTGTGGATGGGAACAGACATAATTTTTGCCACCTGGATTCTTTTATGCTGTGAAGAGATGCTTCAGTCATGTGACAAGATCATCTGCATGATGCTGTTTCCATAGAAACCCTAAAGGACTTGAAAAATAGCACTGAAAGACACTTTAGTGACTTCATTAATTTATTGTTTCACTTTGCATTCATGAGAGTAGGTGAATGCTAACTACAAATTTTAAACATACCCTGTTGAAATTATGTTTTGGTAGAGAAACATCGTTTTAAATTTCCACCCAGCCGCAGGGTGGTATTGGCGGTGGCGAACGCCTTTAATCCCAGCACTCGGGAGGCAGAGGTAGTCGGATCTCTGTGAGTTGGAGACCAGCCTGGTTTATAAGAGCTGGTTCCAGGACAGCCTCCAAAGCCACAGAGAAACCCTGTCTCGAAAAACCAAAAAAAATTTTTAACACAGCCATATTCTGATGGGAAGAATCAGATTAGGACAAGTCCCCTGCCCTCCCCCCCAAAAGCTGATGGCTTCCTTCACATTAAAGAAAGCACAGCCTACACAAATGATTTCATTATAAGACATGGCACCAACACTGGGCATGGAGGAGAAGGATCAGTAATCAGCCTGTCAGGGTTTAAACCAGGACAAGGAATACTACTACAGCAGAGAGACACCAGGAAAAGAAAAATGTGTCACTCGGCTGGCTAATGGAAAAACAGTGCTGGGATTTATGGCAAGTACTACCTGCATGACAAATCCTGGGTCTTCAGCACACTAGTCAAGGGCTTATCTCTCCCTAAGCCTGAGTACACTGTGTTTAAGGAAAGTATTACTAGAACAAACCACATACCTCTTTGATTCCAGCAGGTCTGAAGAACTGTGAAGAGCCCTGTGTACCTATACGTCTAAAGTATATACCAACTGGTCACTTAAGACCAAGAGATGAATAACTAGTACCAAATTATTTCAGAAGGAATTCTTTTTTGCTTTGAGACAGGTTCTCTCTAAATAGCTCTAGCTGTCCTGGAACTCACTCTGTAGACCAGTCTGTTTCTGCTGTGATTAAAGGCGTGCACCACCATGCCCAGCCTAATTCAGTCAAATTTTAATTCACCAAGATTCTTGACACTGGGTGAATTCATTATTAAGATCACATTAGAAGAAATTTGGACTAACTGTACTTTTTTTGTTTGTTTGTTCTGAGACAGGGTTTCTCTGTGTAGTTCTGGCTGTCCTGGAGCTCTCTGTGACCACTTGGCCTTGAACTCACACAGATCCACTTGCCTCTGCTTTCTGAGTGCTGAAAGTAAAGGCGTGCGCCAACACAACACCATCCGGCCTAACTGTATTTACGTTTCCACAGCACCACAGGGCAAAGGGAAGACCTGTGTTTGAGGACTACCCCAGGCGGCTCATCAATCTGCGCATATGGAAACTAGTGTCCTGGTTTGGAAAAGGAATATATGGCAGCACCAGTTATAACTCTAACCCCACACACACAACTTACCGGGTCACTGTCACTGGTGCGGGAAATAACTCTCGGATGCTCAGCTGGAACCGGATTGCTCTGAGCTGCTTGGGCACTCCCGTGCAAAAAACATCTTGGGTCCAACTACAAAAGGAAACCTTTTTAGTGTTCTGGAATAATCAGGTTTTTTAATGCTTGCTGTAACACTGAAGATTCAAGTGATCTCTCTCTCTCTCTCTCTTTTTTTTTTTTTTTTTTTTTTTTTGGTTTTTCGAGACAGGGTTTCTCTGTATTGTTTTGGAGGCTGTCCTGGAACTTGCTCTGTAGACCAGGCTGGCCTCTAACTCACAGAGATCCATCTGCCTCTGCTTCCCGAGTGCTGGGATTAAAGGTGTGCACCACCAACGCCCGGCTTTCAAGTGATGTCTCTAAATATGACACTAAAATATATTTTAATTCTATATGAAATGGATCCTAATAATTCACTAAACCCAGCCACATTATTTGTCCTCTGAGTCTGTTTCCGCACACATTGCTATGCTAGCACTCCGCCTACAAGGAAACAAGTCTGTCCTGTTGTTCAGAGGTACAATGTAACCACTGATAAGCTAAAGTCACTTTTTTTTTTTTTTGAGATGGTGGTCTCACTGTAAAGGTCACACTGGCCTCTAGCTTATCATACTCTTGTCTCAGCTTCTCAAGTACTGAGATTAGTAGCCGAGCCATCTCTCCCAGCTACACTTTTATTTTTTTCATCTTGGGTCTTGCTTAGTTGCCTCGGCTGGCCTTGAATTCTGGGCTCAGCAATTCTCCGATCTCAGCATTCTGCACCACTGGGAACACAGGGCAGGTGCACACGTGCCCAGCTCAGGAAACTGGTTTAATCCACTGCCACTGTGAGCATGCTTCCCACTACTGTGCCTTTCTGCAGCACAGGAGCTGCAGCCTCCCTCCATCAAAAGGGTGGATGCAATGTGCTCAGTGCAGATGGTCATAAGCTATCCCTCTAAAATGGTTCTTTCTTTTTCACAGGATGTGTCTGCCTCTGCCTTCTGAATGCTGGGATTAAATTATACCCTCTGTAATTAATCCTCCCGTTTCCTTTCTTTCTGACAGGGGTCTGACTATGTCTGGCCTTTAATATAAAGATCTGGTTGCCCCTGCCTCACCAGTGCTGAGGTTAAAGGTGTGTGCCACGCCTGGCCTGGAATGATAACCTTGCAAGCTATGACATGAAAAAGAAGACTCTTTCATTAGAGACATGTAATTGAGGGAGTATGTAAAGTGTCCAGCTAAGTGAAAAACTAGTGAACTGCACTCAGAAACCTATGGAATGGAAGTGGGAGATTCAGATGGGATTTTAGGAGATAAATACAAGAAAATACTAAGGAAAAATTTCAAAGTAGCAGGGCATAGGGATGAATGTCTATAATACCAGCATTCAGTAAGATCAGTAGTCCAAATCCAGCTTGGGCTGTAGGAGATGCTTCCTAAAGAAAAAAGAAAGAAAAAAAAGAAAAGCCAGGTGGTGGTAGTGCCTGGTTTTAATCACAGCACTTGACAGGCAGAGACAGGTGGATCTCAGTGAGTTTGAGGCAGCCTGGTCTACAAATAGAGTTCCAGGACAGCCAGGACTGTTATACAAAGAAACCCACCCACACACACACACACACACACAATAGGTTCTCCCAACTGAGCTTAATGACAGTAAGCCTCACATCGACGTGAAATGACTCCAGTTATGAGATTAGGATATGAGTTCTAGAGGAACAGAAGAGGGAATTTGAGTGCAGTGTGGGAGCTAGCTGGCAAGTCAACAGAAACTTCCAGAGTGACGTGACGATGAGGCCTGAGAGCTGAAGCGCTGGAGAACGACTGTCTTGATTTCCATATGTACACACGTCCCTTCACACGTCATACAGTGACAATATAACTGTTTGTAAAAAGTAGAAAACTGCCAGGTGCTGGTGGCGCAGTCCTTTAATACCAGCACTCTGGAAGCAGAGCAGGTGGATCAATGTGAGTTCCAGGACAGCCAGGACATAAGAGAAACCCTATCTTGAAAAACACAAAACCAAACAACAGCAGACTAGGGAGCTGGGGATATGGCTCAGTGGTTGAGAGCATTGGCTTATTCCCAGCACCCACATGGCAGCTCACAACCATCTGTAACTCCAGTTCCAGGTGACCTACAACCTCTTCTGACCTCCACAGGCACCAGGAATGCACATAGCACACAGATTCGCATGCAGACAAACACGCAGACAGAAATAAAATAGCTAAAAATATTCTAGTGCCACAGGGTGGTGCCATTTCTACAGTACTCTGACTTTTCAGTTAGCGTTTTTTTCCTTCAGTAAATAAAAAGCTTAACAAAATGGATTCCTTATGTCTTAAAGTGTTATAAAAGTCCCCCTTCTAGGAAAGCAACCCTTACGTACAATTCTGTCTGCTTAGTTCCAGAATGAACATCATGCAGTTCACCAACTACCAGTGATCCAAACTAGGTCATCCTGAGCCAAACTAAAAACATACACATTAAAACCTTTTTTAAATTTTTATGCACATGGGTGTTTTGCCTGCATACATGTCTGCGCACTACCTGTGTCCAATGTGCCTTCAGAGGCCAGAGTGAAGAATTGGAGTCACAAATGGCTGTGAGCCACCAAGTCAGTGCTAGTGATCAAATAAGCATCTTCAGCCAGTGCTCTTAACCACTGAGCCAACTCTCCAACTACACCCCCCCTCCCCTTTTTTAGAACAGGGTCTCACTATGTAACTCTGGCTGACCTGGAAGGCACCATGTAAACCATACTGACGTTGAGTTCAGAAATTTGCTCTCTCTGCCCCCTGCCTGCTGAGATGAAACGCATGTACCACCACACCTGGCCTGTATTTTTCTTTTCTTTCATGTGTATCAGCATTTTGCCTGTTTGCATGTGTTGTGTGTGTGTGTGTGTGTGTGCGCGCGCGCGCGCGCGCGCGCGCCTGCGCACCAGATGCTAAAGGAGGCCAGAAGAGGGCACTGGATCCTCTGGAGCTGAGGCTGCAGATGGTTAGAAAACAAATTCCGGTCTTACAAGAGTAGCAAGAACTCTTAACTACCAAGCCAACGTTCTTGCCCCAAATTTGCTTTTATTTCTTTTGTAACTTTTTGTTTTGTTTTGACTCTCTAAAACGGACAGAGGCTTTTTATAAATCCCAGGGTAGGAGCTGGTAAAAGAAAAACAGAAAAACAACAAACACCTCCTCCAAACCCAAAACAGTACCAGGGGCTTTTCTAAGAAGTCTTGCAAACACATGCTTGCTGCAAGTGACCCTTTCTTCAGTTCTCATTCTCAAGATCTAATTCTGTGAGGATTTCTGGTTCTCAGTGATCCTCATAGGTGCTGTCAAAGCACCAGACTGTCATGTAGTCATTTATTCATGACTACTGAACTGTGTGCTTCTGGAGAACATGCCATTGCACACTGGATATTTGTTTACACTGTAAAGTGTGTCTCTGCCTAAGTCACCTTCTGATTGGTTTAATAAAGAGCTAAATGGCCATTAGTAGCTAAGCAGGAGAGAATAGGCAGGACTTGGGGCAAAGAGACACAGGGAGGAGGAATCTAGGCACCTGATTTCACCATTAGAGCAAGCTTGCTACAGTTGGGTTATAGGCTTGAAGTTCACCAACTAGAATCTATATAATGCTTTACAACTACATGGCCTATTTTCTTAATACTTTGCCAAAAAATTCACACATTCTGCAACTTTAAAACAAAGATATTGCCGGGCGTTGGTGGCGCACGCCTTTAATCCCAGCATTCGGGAGGCAGAGGCAGGCGGATCTGTGAGTTCGAGACCAGCCTGGTCTACAAGAGCTAGTTCCAGGACAGCCTCCAAAGCTGCAGAGAAACCCTGTCTCGAAAAAACACAAACAAACAAACAAAAAACAAAGATATTATATTGTCATGAAGATCAAAAGAAATAAAGCATGTTGGGGGAGGGGGTGCATACCTGTAGTCCCAGCATTTGGGAGGCAAAGGCAAATGGATTCCTGTGAGTTCCAGGACAGTTGAGGCTACACAGTGAGATCCTATTTAAAATATCAAATATAAACAAACAAAAACCCACAAAAAATACTTGGTAAATAGTTAAAAAGAATAAAACAAACCTGTAAAATAGCACCTTTCCCCCTTGAGGCAGGGTTTCTCTATGCAGCTCTGGCCAACCTTGATTCTTCTGTCTTAATTAAGCTCCTAAGCACACTTTCTTCTTCTTCTTTTTTTTTTTAAAACAATTTATTTATTTTGTATACAGTGTTCTGTCTGCATGTGTCCCTGCAGGCCAGGAGAGGGCACCAGATCTCATTACAGATGGTTGTGAGCCACCATACGCTTGTTGGGAATTGAACTCAGGACTCTGGAAGATCAGGTAGTGTTCTTAACCAGTGAGTCATCTCTCTAGCCCCTCCCAAGCACTTCTATAGGCCTGTGCCACCATGTCCAATTTAGGATGGTCTTACTTTTGTATGTGTTTGCCTCAGTGTATGTGCTTGTGTGTGCGGTGGGGTTGGGGGGTGGGTGGGAGTGGAGGCCAGAAAAAAAAATGCTAGATTCCCCTCAGACTTTGAGTTCCAAGTGTTTGTGGAAGACCCAACTTGTTCCACAGATGCAGGGTATTCAGAAGACTCTGGTCCCTAACTCATGAGTCATCTCTCTGTCCCTTATCTTTTTTGGAGGGTAGGATGAGGAAGGTGGGCAGGGTCTCACGTATTCCGGACTAGACTCAAATGTGCTACATAGCTGAACATGACCTTGAGTTTCTGATCCTCCTGCCTCTCCCGAAGTCTGGATTGCTGATTCTCCTGTGCTGCCACATTCAGTGTATGTGGTGCTAGAACCCGAACCCAGCACTTCCTAAGAGTGTCAAGTGCTTTACTGAGCTATATCCCCAGCCCAAATGTAGGTCTTATCTTGTCCTTCCTTCTTGTTTGTCATGTATGTACTTGTTCATGTGTGTGCATGCATGGTGGTGAGGTCATTGACTTCAGGCGTCTTCCTTGATTGTTCTCTACCTTATTATGTACCTACCTACCTGCCTGCCTATTTTTGAGGTAGGGTCTCTCAACGAATCTGGAACTTACCTATTTGGCTAGGCCAGCCAGCCAGTTCACTTCAGGGCTCTACCAGTTCCGGGTTATATTATATACACATCCCAGCTTTTGCCTGAGTGCTGCACTCATGACCTCACACTTGCCTGGCATCACCACTTTACCAAGTTATCTGCCCACCCTCCTGAGATAGCCTCTCTAATACATGATCTTATTCTATTATAAAAAGTGCCATGTCTAAAAGCCAACCTGCTTTTCTTTTAAATAGTTCAGATTAAAAAAAATTTTTTTTTGAGGCAGGGTTTGTCTGTGGCTTTGGAGGCTGTCCTGGAACTCGCTCTGTAGACCAGCCCGGCCTCGAACTCACAGAGATCCGCCTGCCTCTGCCTCCCAAGTGCTGGGATTAAAGGCGTGCACCACCAACGCCCAGCCAGATTTAAATTTTTAAAAATGCTAATTATCTTATCGCATGTTATCTCAAGCACACTATTTTTGTTGTTTAGGTGTTGTACTTGGCCATCCAGGCTGGCCTCAAACTCCCAATCTTCTTGCCTTAGCTCTCCATTACTGGATTACAGGCATGCCTACCTTCAAGTCCGCCATGGCACAGAGAATTTTACCTGAAAGTGAAGCATGTGAACAGTCTGTTGGAACCTACCTTCTGGATCCTGGAGGAAAGCCTTGTTACTCCAGTCAGCATTGTCTTTGCTGTCTTTATGAAAAAAAGACAAAGAGAAAAAAAAAAAAAAAGGTAGTAAGCCATTATTGAAAAAAAAAGTGTTTGCTATATAAAAATCTGACACTATCTATATATATGAAAACCATCTATGAATCAACAAACTAGGCAAAAGACAAGAAAAAGCATTTCACTCAGAAAACATTATGGCTAGTAAGTTTAACTTCACTACAAGTCATGAGAATGAAATTAAAACCTTAATAATGAGATGCCAATAATAAATATCATCTTAAGGAAAATGAAAAAGTCCCACACCAGTTGTTAAATCCAAATATATGGGAAAAATCAATTTTTACAGAGTTGAAGATTCGAGTACCCAGCTAGGCTATTCCTCCATATTTACTTATGAATATACAATGGAAAGAAAATAAGAATGTTTACAGTAGAGGAGGAGTCTGAATTATTTGAAAACTGAAAAAAAGCAAAAAAACTAAAATGTCCTCTGATACAAGAATAAAAAGTCAGAGAACAGTCATAGAAATAGCAAGAAAGGAACTATAATATATGGATCAACTACAAAAATAAATACTGGTCAGGCATAGTGATGTACACCTTTAATTCCAGTACCAGAGAAGTGGAAACAGTTTATCTCTCTGAGTTCAAGGCCAGTCTGGTCTACAAAGTGTAGGTTCCAAGCCAACCAGGGTTACATAGAGAGAACCTGTTCCAAACACACACACACACACACACACACACACACACACACACACACACACACTAATACCGAGTGAAAAATAATTATATCTAGCATTAAATTAAACTAAATGTCAAAAGCATGCACTAGGTAGAGGCAGGAAGATCAAAATGTCAAGGTCAGATTCAAGCTACATAGTTTAAGGCCAGACTGGGATAGATAACACCCTGCCTGAAAACAAAACAAAACACACAAGCAATCCCTCAAGTTGTACTCACTACTTGCAGGACACATACTCAGGAAAACTGAACTGGAAAGGTGAACGGATGCTAAGAATAACACTCTGGATAACGGTGACACTAAGGGAGAAAAGAAAGGGAACTGAGATGGGGAAGACACACTGGAGATTGGTAATCACTAACTCCTAATACTAGATCATGGATATGTGAGTATAATATCATTATACTATTAACTTTTTTTTTTTTGAGACAGGGTCCTACTATATAGCCTTAGCTGACATGGAACTCACTATGTAGACCATACTGATTTTGAACTTGTATAGATCCTCCAAACTCTGTCTCCTGAGTTTTGGGATTCCCGCTGAGAGCAATTGCACCCACAGGGTCTTCCTCTTCAGGGTTTATTCGGGTTTACATTTCCATCTAGAGACATACGACCCACGGGGGTGGGGGGTGGGGGTGTATTGAGGTGGGGAGACAGGACAACAGACAGGCACAGTGGCTGAGACAGGAAGCCTGGTCACACTGCACCTACACTCAGGGCCCATCCTTCAACGATCCACTTCCCAAATCGATGGGCCACACCCTTCCCAAACAGCACCACCAACTGAGGACCAGGTATTCAGACAAGTGAGCTTGTATGGGACATGGACATTCAGACCACACAATATTATTAGACACCATGAGTTCTGTTTTCAATTTTTATATCATGTGCTAAATGTATCCTTTTGGATGTTGAAATATTTAATTAGAAAACTGTATTCTTTTGGTGGCAAAAAGAAATTTATAATATACTATTTCCTCAAGATGCCATCAGAGCAGGTTATAGTGGCTCATGCTTGTAATTTTAGCTCTTGGAATGATGAAGCTGAAGGACTCCTTAGACTTGGGCAAGCCTGGACTAAACAGTGATTTTTAGAAGGGCTTGAACTACAAAATAAGAGTGTACCCACTCAACCCCAACAAACAAACAAAAAAAGTCCTGATACCCAGTGTTAGTTTGAAACCATGAGGATACCAAATACACACTATCTTTTCAGTATACATATTCCCACCACAAAGTTCAATGAATAAATGAAGGCATTTTATTAAATGCCTTATTTACATAAATAAAACTACAATAAATAAGCTACATAAATGTAGTTCCTTCCCCCCATCCCGTCTCTTTCCAGATGGGGTGTTACTATGTAGTTTAGGCTGATGTTTAATACGTGGTTCTCCTGCCTCTGAGCACTGGCATTCAGGTTGGTCTCTTTCAAAATATCTTAGCTTACCTTCATCTTTTTATTTAGAGGAAACACTTTATACTATCTCTTTGAAATATCTTAATTTCCAGCATTATTACTCTCTCTTTTTAAATTAAAAAATATAAATTATTTTTTTCTGGATACAGGGTCTCTCTAGGTAGATCTGGTTGTCATCAAACACACAGAGATTCACCTGCCTGCCTCTGCCTCCCAGTGCTGGAATTAAAAGTGTGCACCATCATGCATGCTTTGGATCGTTAATAAATTAAAGGCTACCTGACACTTTGTAGTGCTGCCACAGTTCATCTGATACCATAAATGGCTCCTAGTTAGTAGCATAGTAGTGTGAAGATGCCAGAAAGAGATGGTTCACATCCAGGTAGGATGGAGTGGTACAACACACAATTTGATCAAGTTCATCAGAACAGCATTCAAATTTGCAGACTGTTCATTTCTACAATTTTGCACCATGGTTGACTGTGAATTTATTTTAAAAATTATCTTCTTTTTTGTCTATGAATGCTTTGCCTGCATGTATGCCATATTGTATCTGACGCTAACAGATCAGAAGAGATCACTGGATCTCTTGAAATTGGAATTATAGATGGTTGTGAACAACATTGGAGCGCTGGAAACTGAGTCAGGTCCTCTGTAAGAGCAACAAGTGCTCTCACCTGCAGAGTCATCCTCTGCTGTACAATAAGTTCAAGGCCACCCTACACTACTCGATACCCTGTCTCAGAACAAATCCAAACCAACTTTAGATACTAAACTACATTTTGCTTTGGCTTTTTATCTTAGTAGTGTTAGAGTGTGGGAACACCAGACCTTGAGCAGAGACCCACTTCCCCTTCTGCCTGGGAGTAGGCAGCTGTAAGACAATGTTTAGTAAAAACATGTTTACTAAAAACGATACAATAAGTTCCTGGCCACTTCCCCTTCTGCCTGGGAGTAGGCAGCTGTAAGGCAATGTTTAGTAAAAACATGTTTACTAAAAATGATACAATAAGTTCCTGGGAAAGGCCTTCCCACAGAAACCGCCCTGACCTCGACCTTGTCCAAAGACTAACCGCACCTTCAAAAACCCACACACATCCACCTCTGGGGTCAGAGCAGAACCAGCCAGGGTAGAGGAGAGAGCAGAAGCTTCTCTGGTGGGAGCTTTTCTTAGGAAGTTTTTCTTGAACCTTTTTGGAGCCTGTTTAAAGTTCTCTTTATATCGTTGAACGAGTCTCTGTGTTGTCAATCCCCGACACCCTCCGCACGTTCTCGGACACAGGCCACGCAGCAGACGTGACAATTGGAGGTCCCACCGAGATCGTGAAAGCGAGGTAAGTGGACGGGGTTAAGAAACTATGGGGAATAGTTCCGGGAAGCTAGAATCATTACAGTATCAACTAAAAAAGTTACTTAAAGAACATGGGACTGCAGTCAAGTCTAAAACCCTAGAAGGCTTTCTAAAATCGATCGAACGAGCCAGTCCATGGTTCATTACTGGGGAAGCTTAAATATTCCAGATTGGGAGGAGGTTCGCCGTGATCTTCATAGACTTTTACGAAAAGAGGGATCTGAGTCCTTGCCCCCTACGACATTCTCCTTATGGAGATTAGTGAGGGGAGCACTTTTGACAGATAAGGTTCGTCACCACCAGGTAGTTCAGGACACAAAAGAGGCTTTTTTAGAGTTACAAGAGACTGAGACTCAAGCCTCCTTGAGTTCAGGGGCAGAGAGTGATGATAAAGAGACTGTGATTGAAACTAGAGGCTCCATTGTTAGTGAGGATGAGGAGGAGTCTCTTAGTAACAACAAAAAAACGGGTAGACATCTCCGGGCGCGACCCAAAAAAAAGGACTCCGGTCAGAATCGGTTATATCCTTCTCTATCAGACCTAGAAAATGGAAGTAGCTCAGACTCAGACTCGTCACAGTCTGAAAAGGAACGGTTACTTGCTGAGATCGCGGCCCTTAAAAAAGAACTAAAAAAGATTCTAATTAAGGAAAGACAGGACAGGGAGAGAAACCCTTCCCCATACTCTGAAAAAAGGGACTCCTCCTATGAGATAACCCAGTCCTTCTCAGACCTGGAGGGAAGACCCAGAGGAGGGGTCCAATGCTGCCCAGTGGTGGCCCCAGTAATGGAAGTTACAGATCCAAACAATTCTGGACAGGTCATTAGGCGTCATAACCCTTTAAATTTTAAGGATATAAAACAACTTAAAGAGGCAACTTTAAATTATGGAGCACAGGCTCCCTTTACACTTTCCTTAATGGAATCTTTTGCGTCTCTTAATTTGACACCTGGCGATTGGCAGCAGCTTTGCAGAGCAGCTCTGTCGGGGGGAGATTATTTGATTTGGAGAGGTGAGTTTCAGGAAAGATGCAGCCAGACAGCTCAAAGAAATGCACAGGCCGGACAGCCCCAGAGAAATGTGGAGATGCTTACCGGAAGTGGTCAATATGCCACCATTCAGCAACAAATGCAATATGACATCGCAGTCTATGCCCAAGTGGCAGCAGCAGCCCAAGGGGCTTGGAAAGCATTGCCTTCCAAGGAAGGAGGGGATCATCTGTCCAAAGTCCTTCAAGGACCTTCCGAACCTTTTCAAGACTTCGTAGACCGTCTCAGTCAGGTAGCAGAAAGAATATTTGGGGGCATTGGGCCTGCGATGCCAGTCATCAAGCAGATGGCATTTGAAAATGCAAATAAATATTGTAAGGAAGCCCTTCGCCCCTATCGTAATAAAAGTCTAAATGACTATATCCGGATTTGTAGGGACATTGATGGGAACTTCATCCAGGGCCAAGTGTTAGCTGCTGCCATTCGGCCCCAAGTGGGGAAAGAAAGACCTACTCTGGGAGGGAGAAAAACATGTTTCAGCTGTGGTAGAGAGGGACACTTCTGTAGAGAGCGCCCTCAAAATAGTACTACGGGTCTCAAGAGACCTGGTTTATGCCCCCGTTGTCGAAGGGGATATCATTGGGCCAATAACTGCTACTCTAAAACTGACAGGGAGGGAAATTTCCTTTCTGCTAATAATAATCAGGAAAACGGGAGGAGGGCCCCGCCCCAGGGCCCCAAAACCAATGTGTACGGGGCAATGACCCCTGCTCTGGGCAGTGGCAGGACTCATTTTCTCCCCCAGAGCAACCCCTTCATATCTCAGACCTCCTTAGAGCCACCTCGGGGAGTGCAGGATTGGACCTCGCTCCCTCCGCCCGGGCAATCCTAACACCAGAAATGGGGATCCAGGCCCTCCCTACTGGGGTGCATGGGCCATTGCCCCCAGGCACGGTCGGACTACTCTTGGGACGGTCCAGTACTATTCTTCGAGGCCAGGCTGGACTGACAGCCTCAAACAATACAGAGAAACCCTGACTCAAAAAAAATTTTTTTTGGTAACAGTAAAGAGGTACTGGTATTAAGTAAAGAAAAAAAAAAAGGACAAAGGTACATGGAATAAAAAATTTTGTTTACATTTAAATTCTACTTTGTGAGTCATCTCTAAAAACTTTTGGCCAAAAGCCTGGCCTCTCCACCTTGCATCTACAGAGTTACAAGGAGTAGGTACGGCTGTACCCCATGACTGTAGCTCAAATGGAGAAATGATAAAGAACATACAGGACTTTTTAACCCTTTTAGTTCAAGGATTGGCTGGAGTTGTTCTTTTACATAGATTTCAATTAAGGGAGCTTCATTGCAACAGACTAATCATTACCTAGGGAAAAAGGGTGACAGAAAGATACATGTATGTTCTAAATGTATGGTGTGGCCACACCGGTATGTATGAAATGTGATTGCGAATGTGTGAGTGTGAACTGCTTATATGATTAAAAGGATACTTAAATCCCTTCAAAAATAGTTAAGAAGCTACCT